TTTTTATAATAATATCCAATTAAAAAGTAAAAGGAAACGTTGATTAAAACTGAATTCCATAAATGAGAAAACAAATATTATATTGAATGATTACATGATTAAAAAATTCCGATCTGATTTCTGATACAATTGTATCAGTATAGATTACATTTTCATGACACTGGGACAAATGAGATAAAATTCGTACCAATTAACCATACATGGATATTCTATTACCTTCTGAAATTATCCCAATAGTTGTTTGCCCTATTCCCAGGTGGTACTTGATTATTCAGTTGCTGTTGTTGCTGTTGAGAGTTAGCAGAAGTTGATGCAGCATTATGAGATAATGCAGGAGAAGAGTTCGGTAATGATACCAAATTTGGTAAAGACGAACTTGGCGGTAATGTAGAATCTAACGTTTCACCGAGATGATGAGCGTTACGACTTAAATTAGAATATTCGTCATTATTTTCACTGTTGTTACTTCGCTGTAGTAAATGGGATTGTCTCAATTGTGCTTGTAGCTGATTAATAGCTGTGCGCATGGCTTGTAGTTCACGCTGCTGTGACCATAATAATTGACAACATTGTTGTATTGTAGTACCCATCATCTGAAGTTGTTGAGCTTGAGATCCTAATACTAATTGCCGATAATATTCAGACGAGCCTAAAAGAAGTTACATAGACTTTGTTACATCCTATTGCTATCTGAAGTCTCTTGATTTTCATAATCATGTATGTATCTTACCGTGTTGTACTTGATTTAATGGAGGTGGTGGGTATGTCCACCAATTTCCATTAAATCCATTTTCAATTGCTGTTGTTTGAGCACCTATATCCATTAAATTTTCTGTTGATACACCATCTACACTTTGATCATTGGATCCTCCTACACGCCGGAAGGTAAAAGCTTGAAGTTTATAACGCATATACATTACAGTGTATTTTACCTGTTGCAGCTGAAGGAGGCCATACATTAGCAGGAGTACTTGTGTGACTGACATGAGAATTGGAACTCCTTTGACTATTTAAATCAGTTGGTCCTCCTAAGTCACGATTAACGCTAGATGAATGTGATGAATCCTGTTGCCCCACAGGAGAAAAGTGATATAAATGTGCAATTTTCATTGAACTTTACGCATAAAAATAGTATTATACCTTTCGCATACAATCTTCAATTTGACGTATTTTTCCTTGAATTGGTTGAGTCTCTGAATTACTGTTATTGTCCAGTTTTTTATCAGAACTGGTTGAAGTTGTGACTGATGGGGGAGGAGTTGGAGTGGGGAAAACAGTTGTGGAATTAGAATGAGCTGCTGTTGACGTCGAAGCCGCTGGTCTTTTCAACCGTTGTAATTCTACTCTGGTACTTTGTAGTAGAGCAGACTGTTCTCGTAACTCTTGTGTAAAAGCCTGTGAAAAAGGTTATGCATAAATAAATTTATAATACATACTGAAGTACCGGTACTCTTACCTGTATTTCTTCAACAGATAATCTATCTTCTGTATTTCTAGCTTTTTCATGACTTTTGTCGTCGACATCGTTTTGACGTTCGAACGAAATGTTTGTTCCACCTTCTTCTTCGTTAGCATTTAAAGCAGCTGTCATATCACCATTTATGTCTACTTCTGGTTCGGGGTCAGAATTTGAATCAGGACATTCGCGAGATCTTGTCACTTCGGCCACTAATGCTACTAAATGAGCAAGTTGTGCTTTCATGGCTTCCAATTCAGCGGATTTATCTCTTATACAATTTCTTGAACCTTCAGAACTCTGGAATGCACGTATAATGAACAACGATACACATTATTTTAAGTTATACAAGTTATTGTGGAAAATAGTATACTAACACAGCTACCCCTGTCAGACATCATCTCTATAGCGTGTAATTCTGCGACGATGTGGTCCATGCGTTTTTTCTTTGTTTGGAGTTGTGCCAATTTTGCTGTTGCAGATTCAAGTTGCTCGACATTTACAGGTAATGATTGACTTAAGACAACTTCATTTTGATTTTCCTGTTGTAAAAGAGCTTGCTGAGCTCGGCGTGCTTCATTTAATCTTTCTGTAACACTTAATTGCATCCCAACAACGCTAGCTTGATGTTTCATCAAGTGTGCAAGTTTTCTCTGTAATTCTTCCATTTTGCGTAATTTCGTTTCTCTACTTAACTCGCCGTTTTCATCTCCATTCTAAGAAAAATTTCGTGAATAATTTATAGAATGTAGCAAACCTAAATATACATGAAATTTGTAATAACCTCGTAGAACATCTCATGGTCTTCATACTGTTCTAAAAGTCTGGATAATTTTCTCTCACTATCATAAAGGTCCTCTAACATAGTACCCAATTTCTCATTTAGTGCCTGTGCTCTCTATAATATAATAATACAAATCTGAATATGAAAAAAATGTAATGCACAAAAGAAACCATTGTTTCATATTATTAATTTTCTCTACTTACTGGATCAGTGGATTGAACAAGTGAATCCATTAGTGTTGACGTAACTCTGATACACTCTCTGATTTTATTTAAGCGAGCTTCTACTTGACTTTTATCAGGCTGTAATAGTTAAATGAAAAAGGTTTACTTACATTTTTATTAGAATTAACTATTTACATATACTGTACCATTTTATCAACATTAGAGGGTTTCCTTCCTTCAAATCGTGAAGGTGATTGAGTTTGAGAATCTGTAGGTGGAACCATTTTCTGCCAATCTTCTGCACTGTAATTGTATGGCCTTCCACAGGTATATGATGCTGTGATAAAATTAAAGAAAATATCAATTGATTAAACTGCAAAAATATGAAAGAATAAATATTTAAATATATACCAAATTCAGATATATCCTGATAAGATGTAGAGGGTACTGGAGGAACTGATCTTGTATTACTATTCTTTGTTATCCTTAAATGATCCCTTTCACTAACTGGTTTCCAGTCAAGTTGGTACTATTGCATGTAATTATTAAATTAAAGAAACTGATTAGGTGCACAGAGAAATGATTTCTAGAAATGGTGAGTGAAATACTGTAACTCTACTGCCTTGAGGTAGGATTGTATCTGGATATGTATTCTTAGAGAGAACTTCCCCACTATTCAGCTATCTATTATTAGATTATCTTCTAAAATGCTATATACAGATGGTGTGTAAAGTTTTCATTTACAAAGTTCAAATTACATTAAATTAAGAAATATGTAATGTTCAGGTCTATAATATATTTTGTATATTACAAAATATTATTAAATAATAGGATACAGATTAAGTTACAATAAAATTATTTTGGTATATCAACGTAATATAATACTACTTATGTCATTAACTTAGAAATATTTTAACATACAATAATGTATATTACAAGAAATAAAACATAATATTATGAAAATAAATAATTTACAACAAGAAGTAGAAGTATTATATTAATTTTTAATTAGTTTACCAAATTGTTAGAATGTTGTGCATGTCCATGATAAGAAGAATGATTTACAAATTGATTAGCAGCTGACCGTTCCCTATTTCTATCATTTCTTCTATTGCTTTTCGGAAGTGTGCCTGTGTTCTGTGGACCATCGTTAAAACCAGATGACATGGTGTTTCTCTATAAATATTCTTACACTGTTGAAGAAGTATTTCTTTTTGTTCAATGGCTTTCCACAGTTAACCTTGCTAGACAATTGTTACCGCGATATCATTTTAGGACGTAATTGCTATACATGAGAAAAAAAAAGTAGTGTCATTTACCTGCCCAGATCGACGAGCTGATTATAGAGGAACGAACATCCCAGACAAATATTGAGTAACTGAATCAATTCTGGTTTCGCCAAATGTTATGAGCAAGATGTAGCATCAAAAATATAAATCGGTATTCACGAGGTTCTTACGTCAAAATACTTGGCAGGCTAATAAAAAGAATGGAATATACCATAAATAAGTTAGGCCATTGACGCATTTACCGAGACGATTACAAGAGTATATCGATTGTAGTCCGACGAAAATTACATCTAGTTACTCGCATCTACGGCCATTTTTAAATACTGACATGTTTGGTTACAAAACAAGACATGCGTTAACTATATTGCACACCTCGTCTATGATTATACACAGAATTTCATTATCTTAATTATTTACATAACAATAGCTCCTTATTGTACCACATTATTAAAAAAGATAAAACAAAAAATATTATCCAATTTGTACTATAATCTTTCTTCTGAATTATATCAACAATTTCGTGCCATCATTATTAAGGAAGATATTATTTTTACTTTTAGATAAAATCCATTTATTATTCTACAAAATACAAGACTTTCGAAAACTTGACAAATCCAATGAGGCTGAAATTTTGCAAATAGTTTCGTTTTACATAAAAAACAATGTTTATGAGGGGGACTTTTAATGATGCGAAGATTAAAATGTAAAATTTGACAAAAAAGGGTTTTATCATTTCAATGTCACTCCCTGTAATTTTTGAAACTTTTATATTTTGATAAGTCTCATATTCTACCGATACAGAGGTTCTTTTTGAATAGGAAAAATGTTTATGAGAAGGATTTTCCACAATATTAAAATTAAGACATAAAATTTTGTAAAAAGGCGTTTTACTATTATAATGTCACTTCCTACGTTATCGTTGCAGTATAGGACAAGCATCGCTTCACGATGCGTACGGAAACAGCTATTTTTGAAAACGCCACTGAACATGTGAACATTAACAATATAAAATAAATATATATATATATATATATATATATGTACCTCAAAGGAATGACGAAAAAGTATCGAATTCTATTGTAATTTCATTCCTCATTGTGTCGGTATCATAGAAAATGATACTATTATGATAAAACCCTTTCTCACAATTTTGTGTCTCAGTTTCGCAATAGTCAAAAATTCTCCTAGCAAAAATTATTTTTTTTTAACACTAGAACTATCAGATAGGTCAAAGTGACACATTCCTTTTTATTCCTTTCGTAATTACTAAAACGGTACGAACACCTCTCTGAAAAATTACTAAAGAAACTGATTAAAGAATATCTAACCTGAAATTTAAAGCCACTCTTAACCCTTTGAACTCTGTAGACTCCAATATTGCACCAGTTATAATATTAAATATTTTAATGAATCTTAAAGAAACTACCCTAAAATTATTAAATTTTCCACACATCCAAATTTTTTCACTGAGAAGGAAAATGAAAGATCGAAGAAATGTTATAGCATTTCTTATATTCGCTAGGAATACTTTAAAAATTAGTTGCAGTTGCTGATAGATTACAAAACAACCTGGAGTGCTAAGGGTTAATAAATCCACGTTACCTTAGGAGATACAATTTGATACTTTTTGCCCAGAAGTTTGAATGGTTTCACAATATGTGGCGCCAGCAATCATGGACAAGTAGAGATAAGAATAAATATATAGGAGTGACAAGGACAGAGATAGTTTGTTTAATGACGCCACCTAGGAGAAACAATCTGGAGTACCATTTGGTTAGAAGTTTGAGCAGTTTCATAATAAATGGCGTAACCAATTCTGGATAAAGAAACGGTAATTTTAAAAATTGTTTTTTAAATTACCTTAACGGTTCTTTAATAGATTAGGCACTGCTATTCTGTGTTACTAATGGAATATTTGTTAAATATTCCGCAATGAACGATTAATTATAACATTCCGATTTATTATATAAAGAAAACATTTTACTATTTCGAATTATGAAAAGGAAAAACAAAATCCTAGGGTTAATATTCCTGCTTCTTGTAGAGGTAGTATTCACAGCATTAGTCAGAACTGCCATCTGACAATAAATGCAGAAAATTATAGTTACCTGCTCGATCAATACGCAAAATTATGATTCATTTTGCAATTTAAGTTTGTGGCTAAGGATTGATATTATGCATTTGTTTGAGGCTGCAGATGTTAAAAATTTGGAGTTTTGTTGATACTCTTGGTTAATATGAAAGATAATCACTGCAAGAATGATACACTGAATTTTATTTACTTGTACATTTTCTTGGGTTTTCTGTATTTCGTATAGCGTGATTTTCCATTCTCGACTTTTTATTACCTAAAACATTGATTACTCACGCATTATGTTATTGGAAATAATTACGCACACTCACAAGTTCTCGCGGAATCGCTGATTTACAGGATGGTGTGCGTTGCCGGGAAACATGGTGAACCGGCGTGACCTGTAAATACAAAGATAATTCCGAATATATAGTGCGTTAACGAACAGATTGTATTAAAAATATGAATTTTTAAGATACTTTACATTATGAGAGACTTCTTTCACGAAGATAAATTCCGCGTTTGAAAGAATTACATTTTACTTAATGGTCGTGCAAGAACGCGCAATATTGTTAATTATTTCACAATTATTTTTCTGTGTCTCCAATTTGGATATATGCTGCCTTTAAAGGGCATTTGATTTTGAATTGATGAACTAGATAGAAAGTGAATGTCATTTTCTTCGATAAGATATTGAACGAATACTATTTCTAAAGTACGAATAATAGGTAATACATATAGTAATTAATTTCAGGGGCACAATCATGTTTTGAAACCAAACTATTTCTAAAGTTTTGAAACTTGTCTATTTTGAACAAATACTATTTCTAAAGTACGAACAATAGCTAACGCATATAGTGACTAATTTCAAGTACACAATCATTTTTAGAAATCAAACATTTTTTGTTTAATATAAATTTTCTAAATTCTAAATTATAGAATCATCTACGACTGTGAACTGTTCGAAGTTCTACGGTGTCCTCAGACGTAGTAGAAACGCAAGGCATCGATGGACACCATGTATACACGCCCTCCTTACAAGAACAGGAAAACCTTATTTCAAACAGGTTTCGAGCGGCAAATAAATGATGAATTTAATTATATTGCCATACTTTGATATCTAAACGGGTTGCGGCTGCAGAAAGCTGTGTCATTTTTCATGATGCGAACTATGCCGTCCTCGCCTTTATTTAATTCTATATTTACGTTTTCCTCCTTGGTTAGTTAAAATATGTTTATTTGCATACACCATGGAGCTCTTTGAATAATACTAACAATAAGCCAATAAATAGCAATCATTTGATCGATCGAATACAATCAAGATTTGAAATAAGTTAGCAATCAGCTAACCATATACATGTTTAACACTGAAACTACCAGACAGATCGAAAAGACTTCCCGATTTCTTCATTTTGAAATTATTATGACAGGTGTTCCTCTGAGAAATTATTTAAAAAATTGATTTACCAATACACGAACTGAATTAATTACAGTCTCAATACACTCTTGAAGTTTCTATAGTGGAATTTCAAAAAGTCAATTTAACGCTCGGTAGTTTAGTGTGAAAATAAAAATGAAAGTCCAAAAACGATCAATATGATCCTTATTCAATCTTTCTTTCTATAATAGGAACTGCATTCTACTTCTTACAGAATATATTAATAATACTAACAACAATGATTATCTTCTCCAGATAAGAACCTATGTTCTTAGAACTTTATTTACATTCTTTCATTAAATATCCACGTATCAATCGTCGAGGGGGAATCTTATCATGCGTGGATGTCTAAATGTCAAAGAGCAAGGAAAAAATCGTCGAACGATTAGACCGTGTAATCCCAACGCGTTATGACGCGTATCAAATCGAGTCGGGTATTTATCGATCGGCCAGATCGCACTGGATCAAATCGCGGTACGAAGACGAATTCTTAGACGCGTTCCAGACAATAAACTTTAAGTAACAACCGAGAGATAGGGAATCAGCGGTCCATTGTTCAGCGGCTGAACGTGGGAATTTCAAAGCTGGGAAACACTTGAATGAGACGGTAATGATCATTCTCACTCGTGAACAATATTTCTGAATTACATAACGGAAAACCAACATAGACTCCAGCTTTACAAACACAGGGAGCAGTGGTTAGGTTTAATCATCCTCCTTCGAGAACGAATTTTATTGCGATGTTTACAGCGGGTCTGGAAAAACCCAGGATCTCATGGTTTCCCAGCGATTTCTCGGCCGCAGGGTAAACGGGACGCAAACTTGACCGTGACAGTAAAAATCGCGGTGAAGTTCCTTTCGGTCAATGGCGACAATGGCGCACAGCCAGAGGAGCAGGGCACCATGCAGCGGTTTTCAGGAAAATCCACGAGTTTACCGAGAACTCGCACGCCTGATCGGCTTTGTGCTCCTGATATTTCCAGCATTCCGTTCGTGGAGCTCAGCCGCGACGAACCTCATCCATTGGCTATTTCAGCTATAAAATAGATAGATACCTAATCTCATCGTAAAGCTTGACATGATGCTAATCTTTCAGCGCTGAATTCTTTATTTTTTCACATAAACATGTAATTCTTCGTTGTCTCGCTTTGATCTTTCATTAAAATATACTCTACGTGCGTTCGTCCTGCGTTCGATGAGTACACGCTCCATTTTTTTATTTTATTGCGCGCAGAACGAGAGGTTTTTCCAACTATATTCCACAGTTACCTGGTTAAAAATAATGCTTTACAGGAATCTTAACCCTTTGAACTACAATATCAGACTCGTGATGAAAATTTTCAACCGAGTTTGAAAAATCTAAGTGTTATTACTATTCTATATTATTATTAATAATTTATTGCTTATAAAATATTAACTAAGTTATATTCTTACTTATAAAATATGAAAATAAGTTATTACCTATAAATTATTACTTTTCTATTATCAATCGTTAATCTTTGGAGGAAACGTACACATAAAACAAGCATCAAAGTTCCTTTTTTTTCTAATAAATTATTAACACGTTGACTGTCACTAAAATTGCTTAAATGCAATTACAATTAGAAAACTGATGTCGAATAAAAATTCTTGGTAACACAAACAGCTAGATGATAGTGTAACACGTGTTCTGTGATACCGAGTCATTAATAATTATTTCTGATACCATTTGCCTTTGTTATTAAAGATGTATCGTTACACAAAACGTTCGAAATTCTCGTGGCAGTCAACGTGTTAATGATGAAGCAGTTGCGTCAGTCACAGTTAAAAAAATAAATCCTAGGGCAGGAGGTTAAAAAACTCAGAATTTCGAAGTAATTGTTTGAAATATCTAAATGAATCTATTCTAACGAAGGGAACTTGTTTATTCTATATTAAATTTTTCCGAAGAGTTTCAGGTGTTCTAATTGATTGGGAGTAATTTTATATGTTCTCTTTACATCAATTTAAATTTATACTCGCGAAATGATAAGAATGAAGTAAATAAATTGAAGATTGCGATTGAAGTGTTTGATACGCGAAGAATTAAATCGAGAGCACCCAGGAAGTACGGGAACCTTCCTGTAGCCGTGACCTTTCTTGCACTGTTTCGAATTAAGTATCTTGATTGTATATCATCCGCTGTGTTGCTCATACTGGAATGAGAATCTTAAATACGCCAAGCCAAGATGGAATTTTAGAACGATTACATCAATGACTTCTTTTCTATCTCGATTCGATGTAAAGAAATGATTTACAGCACAGTGTAGCAAGGTCGTGGACTATGTTCACATAACAGAAAGTATTTATCTCGCATTTGATTGGAATTTACTGCGATTAATCTAGCCGATCCTATTTTTTCGTATAAAAATCGCGGCGAGACAGAGATGGAGAGCGGAACGAGCATCGCCGCTTTAAAACCGCAATAATGGCCGTCAACGGCGGCGGTATCGCGATGACAGAAAACACCATCCCTTCGTGCCTGGAAAATAACAATAACACCGAAAGTAACAATTTTCAATTTCGTGCGGTTTCAATGTGTCACATATCCGAGTGAATCAGTCAGATATTCATTTGCGACTGGAAACCGCAGCACTCTTCGCCGACACGATTTGTTTCGCGCGTATCCGAGAAATATCAAGTTATTATAGGAACAATGATAAACGATGGAACAATGACATTTCGTATTTAAATATAAACTCCGCATTCTTACCGCTCGATGTAAAAGATCACGTGTAATGTTGAAACCTCTTTAAAATGGAAGAACGTTCCGCGAAATTCGTTTCATTACCGCGAACCGCAAATTACCGTTAACATTAATGAAACCCCGGAAAACCTGTCCGAAATGTGTAATTATTCCGCAGCGGCGGCAGCCATTTGATTCGAACAGCTAATACTTGTAATGGAGTTCCGCGAACTGTTCAAATACAAATTTCTCTGGTCGAATGCACATAATAACCTATTGTAGGCAAGCATTGGAAGAGTGTATAATCGTTCTCTTCCGTATCCAAATTATCCGAGGCACACAAACAAACCGCAGACGTTACACGTCCGCGGTACGCGAAATTACACTTAACGCGATGAAATTCGAAGATCTAATCTCCACCATCTATTTACGACTATTGGGGGTATAAATTTCGTTTGCGATCGTTACGAGCACGCACGGCTAGCGCGTAACGCGATACTTTAAATACGATTGATTTTAAAAGCCGTATGAAGGTTACATGAGAGCAGTGCGCCTTGAAGTAACTTTAGAATTTTGAATCAAACGGTGAGCATCGAAGGGGCAACGAAACGAACGATTGTACTTGCGAATTCATTGAGAACCAGCTCCGATGTAAGCATCGTAGTCTCCTGTTTACGGAAACAAAAATACTGTCGGTATCAGGGTTACGGATCCGTTCGCATAATCGGCCGATAATTGAGGAGAACGCGGCTGGGCAAGGATTAACCCGAATTAGGCGCGTTGATGCGAAGAGAAATTAGTCTCGTGTCCTGCGAGAAAGACGTCGGTGACGTCTGAAACGTGTTCTCCACCATCTTTGCCCTCCGGGACGGGAATTTCACGGCGGCCAGAAAGATGCACACACGCGTCTTCTCGTGGGGAATGGAGCCGGGAAGTTGTAGCGATTTCCCATCGACGCACATATGACTCGTTCCCTTCTAGTGGTGGGGATCCCGGTATTCGCGGATTTATATACAACGGGCCGCCAACGTCTTGGACACATTTGACCGTGGTAGCTGGATCCGAACGATCGCGAGTCTGTGATCGAATCCGCGCGCTGAGAATTTTTACGACGCAGAAACGTTCAAGTGACACCATGGTAAGTACATGGGAACGAATACAATTATCGGGCTGCATTCAATATTTCTGTACAGTAGAAATTCTATTCTCGTGCAAATATCTATAAACTGCGAGAGGAATGTGTTAATTTCCTTGGAATGTTGTAGCCGTTCATTGAAAATTGATGCGCTAAGTGTTTGATTAGTTTTACCGATTGAATACTCATTATCCGCATGTTTTCATTCGGTGTTTCTAATATTCGCCGGAAATTAACAACCGTTCGACAAACTGCACAAATGCGAAGCTAACAATTGCATTTTCTAGCTCGCCGGGCAGAGGAATCCGCGAATATTCGTTAATTTCGCGGGCGAGGCGCAGTTTCCCTGATATATTATCGCGCGTGCTTTCGTGAAAGGCCAGGTAGAAATTCCAGTTTTCAACAGTGATCACGGGCGAACCGTGAAAATACCAGTTCCCTGCGAGGGGAATAAAATCAGGCCAAGTTAATAGGAAGCAATGAACTCGCTGAAAACGAAAGATACGCGTAGCCGGAGATACTAGTAATCGAATCTTCGACGCGAATGGAAGCAGGCCGGAGTAATGAAATTTTTTAACAATCTTCGTGAAATAATACCGATTCCGTCTAATTTCTCGTTACAGATGAAACACATCGTAATTCTGTTCGCCGTGCTCTATCTGGCCCAATCTCAGAGGCCGCCTTACGCCGGCAGCGCGGACCGAAATCGCTATCCCCAGGTTCTTCCGCAGTACATCCAAGAACAGGCCGTCGCAATGGCGGCGCTGGGAAACCGAATAGGCGTGGATGCTCAGTCCTCAAGGCCCACGACGACGACGACGACAGTGAATCCGTTGGACCTGCCGGTCGACGCGCTCGGCGACGTCGACCTGATCAACAGAATCAAAACCTGGCCGAGAGACAAGCAGCCATTTTGGTACCTGAACTGGGTGCAGATCCAGGAGAACCGCGGCGACACGAGGCAGCGAGCCCAACCCACCGAACAGAACGTGTATCCCAGGAGCTATTAAAACGGGATCGAATTCGGTAGTTCGTCTACTTAACGATTTACGCGAGGCGACAGCACTGCCGTCATCATTCTGCTAGTCAAAATCTACTCTTTTACACGACGATGAGATTCTACTTCATTCCTTCGACTTCTCTCAAGTTGTCCGCCATATTTCGTGTTATCGGATGTATCTGTTGCTCGTTCAATCAGCAAACGCTGTCGTATTTCGTCACGGTTTCGATGATTCCTTGGCCAGAGGCCACTTGAACTTTAGATTTCACGGTTGAATTTTGCTCGTTTTCTGCTTGGAACGTCGTGCCTATACCTCCGGCGTAGAATGGATGGCTATAAAAGTAATCCCGTCGGAACTGTTAATCCGTTATTTCCTTAGGCGGTAGTTGACATCGCTCGTTTTCCAAATTGGGGTTTGGCACGGGCGTGGCTAAGTCCTTGCTTGTACGGCATTGAAATCCCCGGTGAAGCCGACTCGAACTAACGGGGGTCTCAAGAATTACTTTTGTCTCTGGAGAGATTGTTAGTCCTCTCGTTGTATCTACGTTCTCGTCGGTTGCACCAGCTCGCGGTGGACAGTGTCATCTTTACCTGTGCGCGATTGTGACGAAGACCTTCTGTTCTTTGTTTATTTCGGCAATGCATCTGTTTTCCTCGATTTTCTTAATCTCCATGCCTGCTTTCGCGGCGGTCCTTGTTCGCGCGCTATACCTGTATACAATCGAACTGTTCGTAACCTTCGACGTATTTAACTCTAATCGTACCACGTGTTTTTATAGCGAATCATACCGTGTGACTCTCAGTTACTTATGAGAATAAAAGGAATGATTAACATGTTATTGCTTTTGTTTATAGCGCCCAAATTTTAGAAGTCCAAATAGCTTTTGAAAATGCAATGTGAAATAATCAGATTTAAGTGAAAATTTCAAATCTCAAAGTCGCATCGTGGTTTGGTTAGAGTTAATACGGACGTGAATGCTATAGAATTCATTTTCATTGCGATGCAAAATGACACGGATGTTACAACATTGAAGTTTATAAGCCACATTGTCATGAATTTAATTCTATATAGTCTTAACTTTTTGAAATTATCATGCAATCTGAAATCCAGCGCGAATAGACGTGAACCCACCGATGACGAAGGCTGAACAGAAAGTTTCGTCGGAAGATTCAAAGGAAAAGTGACTATTTTTTAAAACGGATAATTTACTTCTGAGTCTAAAGTGCAGTTGCTGATTCACTTATCTCTTGAATGTATACAAACAAGAGGTACCTGAAAAGGAACGAAGTCCTTGGAAAAACTTCATTAATTCATAAGAATTGTTTCGTGTAGCGTTCTCATCGATTTCAAAGATTTTCGGGTACGCTGCCAGGGACGTGATTTTAAGAAACTTTTTCTATGACGAGAGTCCATGTATGTAACGGGTGAACTGTTTGAAACAAAAGCTACTATAGATTTTCACTAAATTGATGGATATTGTATGTACCGTTATTTTAAATAATTTAATTTATCCTTTAAAGATCTTCTCTTCTGCCTACAATTTAACTTTATTATTGTCTGAAAACAACAGGACAATTTTATTTAGATTTAACTAGAAGGATCTTTGACAATTGTGAGAAAAGTTAAGGTGAGACGTATCTTTGACCCAGAAAAAGACAATGTAGACACTTGCTTTTGTTTATATATATATATATATATATCATAAAGAAAAGAGTTACTTGAAGTTACACCCACAGTAACATATCCACAAATAATTAAAATTTCTTAGGAAAACGCACAATTAAGTGATAACCCTGGAATTTCTTGACACAACATTCTGTTCAGCCTAATATCATATCAGCCCATGAGTGATATCACGTGATTTAAGCTGACTGCAGGATAACTTCAGAATGCACAAACAATTACGAAAGTGCACATTCCACTGTCGTCTGTGCGAATATGCAGAATAGTTCACTAAATTGCGTGAGGATGAATGAATGCTGTTCGATTATTACTCAAAATACTCAAAATACTGTTGTACGATGAACGTTATTCACACCGGAAATCATTTGAATATGTTCATTCCTGAATTGTTTCGAGATCCCTGTTAATCTACAATAAGTTAACAATTCGTTCGTTCTATTTATACAACGAGTTTAAAGAGATTTATAAGGTAGTATTCAACTGAAGCAGTATCTCTTCTATTTTTAAAATCGGACCTGTGTGATTTTTTGTTAAAGAAACCATTTTCATCAATGATCTTCGTCATTCACCTACATGTATACGGTTAAGAACATTTCCAGAATTCTTATATTAAATAAAGATTTAACAGTAAACGAAATAAACGTTGAACCACAAACTTATTTTTAAAACCTTCCGTTAACACGTTGACTGCCACGAAAACCTTCAGAGTTTTATGTATCATTTATTCTTTCTATAGTGAAGATACAAAGCAAAGATTTTTAGTTTTTTGATATGAAAATTTTCATATTGCCGTATTATCTAGTTGTTTACGCCAGGGAAAATTTGTATTCGAAATCAATTATCTTCCAAGTCATAATTATTTTCTTGTAATTCAAGCTCCGGTCATCGGTGATCACCATGGTAGTCAGTGTTAAAAAAAATCTTATAACCATAGAAAAATCACGTTCCAACTGGTAACCCGTCCAAAATTTAATTTTTCCAACAGAAAAATTAACGGATCCTTTTCAAACATTACGAATCCATCGAAAAATTAATTAAATCATAAAATATTTTCATTCGACATTACTTATCTGACGAATTATAATTATCGTCAAGTAATTTGAAAGCATTGGTCATCGGTGACCACCCTACCAGTCAAAATGTGAAAAAAAGTCTATAACCATAGAAAAATCACGTTCCAACAATTAACCCATCCAACATTCAATTGTTCCCACCAAGAAAATCAATTCATCCCCTTGAAACCTCACGAATCCATCGAGAAAGCGATACAGAACAACCCCATTCGACCGAAAAGGCAAAAAGCAAAGAGCGCGGATGAAAAACTCTGTAAAACATCTCGGCGACAGAAGGGATTTTTAAATTTTCAATCCACCTGCTGAGCGGCCCGCGTCAGCCAATAGGGAATGACAACGAGGCGAGCCACGGTCCAGAGAATTACGGTGTCCGATTGGGCCGTCGTGCAAGTTGCGCACGAGTAAGTCGGCTGCACGCCGGTGACGTCACGGCAGTCTGTCCAATGCAGCGGCGAGAATCTCAGTAATAACTGTGCGTGCGTGCCGTACGCCGAAGCGTGTTACTCGTACTTGGTTGTACAGGCGAGGACGAGGGGCCGATAAAAAAAATCTCGTTCCGTTTCGGAGATGTTCCCCGACAGGGTTATGCCGGACGGGGACCGCGTACGGTAGCTTTCTTTTTTTTCCTCCATTCATGAAACAGGGAACGGTTATTCATTAAAGAGGGCCTAAATGTGTCCAAGAAATATCGGCGTGTCGAGGGAAAGGCAGACGACTGCACGCGATCCGCCGTACCTGACAGTCCACGCGGTCCGGCCCCCAAAACACTTTCGTCTCGCTATATACACACGAGAAATCGCGTCGCGTTTCATTCACAACGCGAGCGCCACTGGCAATGTCGGGAAGTGACAGCCCAACATTCTTTCACGGCCAGCCCTGGTCCAGCTGGATCGAAAGAATAGGACGAGACAAGCCGTTGAGTAAGTGCGCTGTAATAATCATTGAAAAGCTCGTTCGTTCGTCCGCTGTCGCTGGCCGGAACGCGACAACGGCGAGCGTCCCAGCTACAGTCTACCTAACCTCAACTTCGATGCTCCTTTGTCCGCGGACTTGACGCACGGCCCGTCACGTTACCGTGTCGGAGCCGAGGCATGATTTTATTCCGGAGAAATGTCGCCGACGTTTGTCCGACGGTTTCGATCGCCCGTAGATTCACGATTAAGCGTCGCGAGCCTAGCCGCGTCCTTTTTTCCTTGACAATTATGTAATTCAGAAATAGAATACCGACCGTGAAAAACAGACGGCCCGCAAACGGTGTCTGGCATGGATCGTTCGTTCGATCCCCCCGGTTTAATGATCTATCGGCGAACGTAATCGACGATCCCGTTGCCCTTGGATTATTTATACATGTACGACGCTCGATTTCGTAGATTTCTTTCTGTTTTGATTCTATCCGGTTTCGAGGAAATGCGTGGAACGATAATGCATGTAAGAAATGTAAACATAATAAATACTGTTCACCATGAAGTTTGTGTTTTTTATTTCACTGGTTGCTTTTGTGAATGATGGGGATGAATGATGATGGGGTTTCAGTGATGGAATCTCAGATGTGGGACTGTCATTATTGGAAAGTTAATTGCTGTGGTATTTGATGGATTTTAGTTGCAGATTTGATGTGATGAAGTTGGAGTTTTGAATTTGAGTAGGGGATGAGATTTGATTGTAATGAAAATATGAAATGTTTATTGAGTTGATGATATTTTATTGTTTATTGTGTATTTTATGTTTTATATTATTTTCTTGTGTGATCTTGTATGATTTATTGTTGGCGTCATAGAAGTATTTGGTATGTTACAGGTGATGACGAAGCAGAAGGTCAGCACTCCACCTCAGTCACACGCCTTGCGGCAGAAGGTATGCATTTTGTAATAACTATTGTGCATTATTTTCATTCAATATTATGGATACAAGGTATTATTGATATATTGAAATATCCTGACTCTCCTTTAATAAGATGATCTTTGTTCCAGACATTGATTTATATGGATTCTGCCCTGAAAGAGATACTTTTTACACCGTTGTATGTGAAACATGTCATGCCATAGTCAAACCACAAGCCCTTATTCAACATATGGGTATGTAATTTCATTGTACTACTTTACATTAATTTTACTATTTTGATTCAATCTTAATTTTCCAAGGGACTATTTTGATTTCAAACATACTTCATTGAAATCATATCATATCTTTGAAATCAAAGAATTTCACAGAATATTAATTATTAAAGAATATTTAATATCCTCTGAAGTTAAGTATAGCATGTCTATCCAACAAACCAACTTTAATATAGAAAGGAATAGATTAATCTAATCAGTTCAAATAGAGGCTTTCACTACAATCAAACTTAGATAATTATTTTTCCACCAATTCAATTTTTAAAAAAATTTATAGATAAAGTCTACTTTGCTTGAAAAAAGACACTTTCTGATGGATATGAGTTCAGTATCAAAAGAGGTGCTTCTGATATTTTAAGATGATATTCGATTTTTTAAATGGAACTGTATATTTTTGTTTCACTGGATGTGTAGCTTATTTCGAGACGAATTTATCGATCCTAATACATTGATCCTCCAAGGTCATTAATGGTCACTTCCGACTATTTAAAGTATTCCTTCATTGAAGTCTAAGGATGAACTTTATCATGACTACACTTTCAAACATAAAATATTTACATTGCAATTACTACGAACTTTCTAACAGATAAGATTTATCAGTACCTGGTAGTGGGTATCTATAAATCGGCAGACCAATTTTTAACGAGTTAGACATACTATTCAAACTAATATACTAATGCAAAGCATAGTCTTTTTGAATACACAAGACAGAAAACATTTTCCGGAGCTCCGATGAAGGGATAATTTAAGCGATCACAAAGAACCCTATCTTGAAAGATCAACATATACATTAACAAATTCGCCCAGAGTACTCCTAACTAAAAGTATTCAGCATCAGTAAAGACAGGACACAACAATTAAACGTACACGACCAAACGAGTACATATTCATCACAGAATGTCCTGAAAAAAACAGCAACCTCCAATCCACAGTTCTTAAAGCTATATATAACTTAGAACAGTGTTTCTCAATGTGGGCCAATTTGAAATTTGAAATATCACTTCATATATTTCATAACATTACGCACAAAAATATTATAATAAATATTAAAAATTATATACAAGTTACATAGGCGGGCATAAGAATTTTAGAAAGGGTAGAACACAAAGAAGGTTGGGGAACACTGACTTAAAAGATAGCCGTGCGGCCAAATGAAAAACGGCACCACTCGATGCTTTAAACGTTCTCCCTTATTCTGCCACAGAAAGTCGTCATCCTTCCGGCACAGTCAGTTTTCCGCCTCCCACCACCCCTGCAGTCAAGCCACCCGTGAAAACGCCGTATTGCAAAGTGTCGAAGCTGAAGAAGACGCAGCCGCCGCCGCAGATCACCACCGGGAATAAGATAAACCACACGAGCGTGAAACGAGCCGGCGAACAGCCGATAGTGCCGACGAGCTTGCCGTCGTCGCTGCCGGTCGCAACGTCACCGCGGTCGCCGCTCGAGTCCCTTCCGGTTCAAACGTCAACGAACTCGTCGACGGGGCCGACGGTCTCCTCGAGTCCTGTGAAAAGTCCGGGTACAGCTGGCCAGCAGCAGCCACGTCGCAAGAGGCTTAAAACGGACCGGTCGTTGCTCAAGGACCGCGAGTACGACCCGGACCGGCACTGCGGTGTCTGGAACGACGAGACCGGCAAGCCTTGCACCAGGTCGCTCACCTGCAAGGCGCACACGGTCTCGCTGCGACGGACAGTCCTCGGTCGGAGCAAAACCTTCGACAAGCTTCTCGCGGAACACCGGGCGTCGAAGGAGGTGCCGAACCGGCCAACGAAAGTAACCGTGACCGGCACTGTCACCGTCTCGTCAGCTACCTCCAACCTCAACCCTTTGACACCCAACACCCCTGGGCTGAACGCCGACGCGGAAGCGCCCAGTTCGCCACCTGTTCTCTCGCTGCCAGACACGTATCCACTGCCAAAGGTAAGGACGATCCGTTAATGTGAATCCTCTTCGTTGTCACTATTCTGTCTCTTTGCATCCCTGGTCTGATGAACGTGCGATCTGTCGTCTCCGCGAGGTCCTGTTCGATTCTTGGCCTACCCTTTCACCGCGAAGGGATAATTTATGACTTCTGTTGTTGGAAGTGGAAATGAGATGATCAGTTGATCAGAAAGTTAGCTGCTTCAAAGGTGAACTCCATCGAGTTTTCTTTTTAATCATTGCGCGCGCAGAAATATATTCTCTCTTATTGATCTTTGTTGATCTAGTTTTGCTGAGTTTTATTGACTGAACGAGTCGGAAACTCGGTCTTCTCTCTGTTTACTTGTTGATGAAGTGATTTTACGAAGTCACCGGTTTTCGCTGTGGAATGTTGGTACTTTTAAGTATAAGACGGTCCGCGGTGAAAGGGTTGAGACTTTGTATTCTGTGTTTTTGAGACGACGTTCGATGTTCCTGCGGTTTGTGTGCTCCAAAGGAAACGAGATATTTTTTGTGTCCCCTCGCTTCCGTGCAAATATTTAGTTCCGGTCCAACGGGCTCTCTCCTCCGCGCTGATTTAGCGATCCTCCGTATCTTCGCGAGAGTTTCAAAGCCTCGAGGTAAATGTACTTTCGTTGGATCATGTTGCGTACTTTCCTCTACTTCCTCCTTTTACCTCTGCCTCCTCTTCTCGTAGTAATGTGTACCTATCTCTCTGTCATCGTGTACCTGTGAAATGACATATTGCATGATTCAATGACTCCAGTAATCGAGCAAAGTGTTCTTGTTACGCAGAGCGTGCGCCTACAATTTGCAGAATTCCGCCCGCTAGAGTCTTTAATTAACCAAATTTATCGTTCCGTCAATATTTCAGCCGGTTCGCCCGTCATATTTATTTTTCGCCGTTATATTAATTAATTCCCTGGAAACGGAATGGCGAAGCACACCCCGCCACGTTCCCGTCGGTGTGCTCGAACGGAACGTTGTTGCTCGTCGCGTTGTATTTCCATCGGCTTCGTCGATCCGGCCGGAAAACAATTTTATCGCGTGTCCATATCGTCGAGTTTTCAGGGAACGGAAATATGTTCAATGGCTTTGGAAAGCTTAAAAGTGTAGAAAAAGCTTGTTAGAGTTATATCACGCACCGTGGAGAGCCTCGCGAAGCCCGACCGAAGTTGGGGGATGTTTGATGAACGAACGATGCCGGCTTTTTCTTTATCATTTAACCGAATTAGATCGGGGAGATTCGCTTGAAATTCAAGCGTCGGACACACTCAACTCGGAATCGAATTCCGTGGCGTCTTTAAGAAATATACGAATCTCGTCGAGGACGTGATTGCTGGATGCTGCCGCCGACGACTGTGTATCGAGATATCGATCGTTCGTGTACCGCCAGCATAGAAAATTAGATCTCGGGGACAACAGGTGGCACGGTAAATCAGCGAGCCCTGTGCCTAGTCAAAATTTAGTCGAGCCATGAGACATGCGTTCGATTGGAGCGTCATCAGGTATCAATCGATACCCTATTACACACGCGTTCTTGCTTTTCGTAAATCTCTTAAGACGCACTAGACGGAATCTAGACGGCGGCTAGAAAGAGTCGAGGATCTGTAGCGGGTCAAAACAGCGTTTGCACACTCTGCTTTCATTCTTTGCGTATTGATTTCTTCGTGTAACGTATCGAGCCCCGCGATGGCTCGTATGCCCAACGTTACACTCGCCTACGCTTGTGCTGCGTTAACGGCAGACATAAGTTTCCGAGTTATAACGCTTGTTTCTTTATAGACCGGTGAAGCAAAAAGTTTGTCCTTGAAACAGGACAGCATGTTGAAAGAAATATCATTGAAGTTAAAAGGTAGCGTGATGAGGCACTTCTGACAAGTGTAAACTTAACAAAAAAGAAGAGGTGCAACGATGAATATGCGCACCATGGAAAGAAACGCACTTGCTTCGCATGTAAAATAAAGTTTTTGCTTGTTTCTCCTATCGCACCCATCGTGCACAGTGGGTCTCGATTTACGTAGGCTATCTCTCGAGCAAATCAGTTAATGTACTTTTGAATATCGGTTGTTCGGGCTTTCAAACGATTGTTCTGTGTATAATGCTTCCAAAAGTATTCAAACTTCACCGGTGCGCTATTTCTTTACATAAAGTTGCTAGACTGCGGATGTTTCTGCATCTGTAACGCACGAAGATCTCCAAAAACCGACAAAATAGCAGCTCAATCGATTCATCGTATATTTTCATTCGATTTCTTATTCATTGAATCTATTAGTTCGAAAGTTTAATATTCAACTTTCCGTAACTCCTTGCCGTACAATGACGAGTGAGACTCGTGCTGAAGATTTCCAGATTAATTTAACAAAACTCAGTGTTGCTTATTGCTCACGGATCAAAGCGAAAAAATATTTTGCTGTTATCAATGTATTATCTTCAAATGAAACCTCCACTTGAGAAAATTGTTACATTTCTTCCAAATTGATAGTAAAATGCTACACGAGCTCAGTAGCGAAAGTAAATGATACGGCAAGTGGTTAACACTAGAACTACCAAGCAGTCAAGTTGACTTTTCAAAATTATTCCATAGAAACCCCAAGAGAGCATCTGTCGAGGCTTCCATCACTCGAAACGTTTGCGTATCGCTAAAACAGTTTCTTTCGAAATTTCTTAGAGGATCTATTGGTTTTTCAATCATTGCAAAGGAAGAATACAAGAATGTCATTTTGACAATAGTAGTTCTAGTATTAAACATTCCACCAAAAGTCGAAGCAGTTTCACGAAGTTCCGCAGTGCAAGTCGCTCGATAAAGAGAAGCGACAGTGCGAACGCATCTTTGACCCGCCACAGACGACCACCGTACGAAACAAGAAATCGGGAACGAACGTATGAAAGAACAGAAAAGAGAAAGAAAGAAAGAATGTTACTGACAAACGTCGCTGGCGAACATGGATCGATCGAGCCAGACGAGTCAGCCGCGACAGTACGAGCGACAGCGAGAAGGGTGTCGGTTGATACCTGTTTTCTGTTTTTGTTATTGCAGGCTGTTGATTTGCTTTATCGGTGTCTGGCCCCGCATGGCTCCACTAAACCTGTAAGGCATGGTTTCTTTTGGGCAGTTAAACGCCAACACCTCGTAAGGGCACCTACGATTCTTATTTGCGAGTCGCCAACGATTCTCTTTTTTAGACCAAGCTCGAAGAGGACTTCGCGAACGAGGAGCTGAGGAGCCTGGAGTCGTCGATAGTGAACTCGACCGGTTCCTCGCAGTCTAGCTCGATAATGGGTCCTATATCGGTGGTGCTGCCGTCGCTGTCGCCGTTGCCGGCGACCAGCAACGAGGAGCCGTCCTCGTCGGTCGCGACGCTGATACCGAGCACGGCGTCCCCGGCGATACCGGTTGTGCCAGCAACACTGCCAGCCACATGCACACAGCCGCCGTTGGTCACGACCGTCCTGGAGGCGGAGACGCCGGTCGACATTGATCCGGAAGCGGCGACGACCATCTACTCCCCTGTCTACAAGGATAAGTCGCAGCTGGTCGTGCAGCTACCGCGATCGAACAACATCGTTCACTCGCCGTTGTCTAGGAGTTACCAGGTGCAGGCCTCGATGCCGAGCCTGATATTCGAGCCGATGGAGCAGCTCGAGCAGCTCGAGCAATTGGAGCAGCTGGAGCAGCTCGAACAGCAGCAGCAACACCCGCCCCAGATCAACGGGAAGAGACTGAACCACACGGCGGCCCACCTGAGCCCCGTGAACCAGCGACAGTCGAAGAGGACCAAACACGACTACCAGCAGGACCTGTCCACGACGGCGATACAGGTCGAGGCGACGACCGCGTCATCGCCTTATCCCCATTTCGGGGACATATCTTGGTCGAACTGTCACCCGGAGCCACTGGCGGTCAGCCGGTGGCTTCGTATCTCGTCCAGCCGTAAGCAGTACAACTTTAATATTCACTGACACAAGACCCCACCCACTCCAGGCTGAGGACCGCGGTCGACGGGCCTTTATCTCTACCTCCTGTTACATCGTTCGGCATCCTCTCTCACGTGGTCGCACTCGCCGCCGTAGACGCGCGGAAGCCCGGGTCCGAAAGCCTGTCGAGATTGGGGGCAAGTCTTTGATAATTGTGTCTTTGGTGGAAAAAGAGAATATGTCGATGTCGAGTCAGCATGCGCACGGTGTAAACGCGCGGCCGATGTCCCGACGGGACTCGCGCGCCGTCGTCCTGTGCATGGATGTACGCCCTGTGACCGGGCGCTAGCTGTTCTATCGCACGTGTCGCCTGTAGAGATGTGTGTTTACCGCACGCCGACGTTACTCGCGCAGAGCGAGGATCGCGATTGTCCTCGCGAACGTTCCTCGGCTCGGCTGAGAAGCTCGCGTTCCGGTTTGTTCATGGTTTCAGTGTGATTTCACTCGGTGATAGATTGCAGGATTTATTAAGCGGATATAGGTAGACGCGAAGGAGCACACTGAAAGATAGGTTTCGCGAATCGTAGGGTTAGTTCGACGGATCGAACCGTAGTGTAATACGATGCGGAGGTTGCCTTTGGATCCGCGCGAGGGAACTTCTCGGCCGAGCCGATGGGACGGTTGAGGATCGATGTACGTCGCTCCGTTGGAAGTTAGGAAAATAATTCGGGACGGTTCGTTTCGAGGGAACGAGGTTTCGCGGCGGGGGTATTAGTTCCGGTAATTTATCGTAGATCACCGCGCCACGACGGAAGATCGGTTTTCATTGTTACTAACGAGTTTTGTATTCCACGAAAGCAGTGCCCACTTGTATCGGGTTACGCGTCCCATCGAAAAAACATTCCCCGTGTTCTCCCGATAACGCGCGCAGCACCGACCCCGTTATCCTCCAAGGACCGGCATCTTTGTATCAACGATGCTCCCCTCGTCGCGACAGGGTGTTCCAGAATTCGTGGTCCGACCCGACATCCGCGGAACAGAGTGTACCGAGAACGTCGGTTAATGTGTTCTTTCCTTTCCTCTTTTTTCTTTTTTTAATTAATTTAATGGTTTACGTTCGTCAACGTAGGAATTGTATTATTTAATTGATGTGTGTCGGCGCCGGCCGACATCAATGCGTAGCTGTAATTAATGTTCGCGATCCGAGGACGAGAATTACGCGATCCGCGAACGACGAGTAGAATCGATCGGATTCTCTGTACGATTTCTGTTATCCTCTGATTTCCTTCTTTTTTTTAACGATGAATTCATTCATTCTCGGCCTGTACCACGTGTTTTGCGCCACCCTGTAGTTTCGCCGTGCAAAGTCGATTGACAATAGCGAATCCTCTTAGAGTATTACATCATCAAGTAGCTTCGGCTACCGACTGATAAATTCATTTTCACGACGATGATTTTCCTTCGCGAGATCATCGGAGCATCGTCTATCATCCGTTCAACTTAATATTGGAGCAGTGCCGGCGCTTCCTCATTGATCCATTTTGCGCCGAGCAGAACCGTTCCTACTCGCGATGCGAGCCCCGAGCAAAAGTTTCTGACGGCTTACTCACGCTGAAAGCACCTAGATATCAAAGCATACGCATTCTTGCCTTTTTTTTTAGTGGAAATATCATTCAATCATCACTCGAGCTCAATACAAAACGATCCTGATTGCAAATTTTACAAAGTTCCTGAGAAAGCGTTTCTTTTTTATTCAGGCTAAGAGAACCCCTGTGTAACATTATAATATTTCCATTAAAAAATGCGCAACATTCGAGAGAGAGACAGAGAGAACTCAACAAGTCATTCTGTATTAAGAAGCTTATAAGTATCCCTTAAGAGGATTATTTCCGGAGGATATCAGAGCAAAGAAATAAAGGGTGCAAAGGGAAGCAGAAGGATTGCATCTCGCGATAAAGAAAACGATTATTATCCGTGACAGAGAACTTCGGTAGCTTATGTCTCTCGTCACGGCAGATGTGACCTTTTCACAGTAATCGTTCGCGAAGAGCGTGAAATTAATACTAAACAAAATCGTCTCTCACTGCTTCGCTTTCGCGACACGTGTCTCGTAGTAACGAAAGCAAAATGGCGTCCCTAGGAATCTAATCTCTTTGTACTAGACTTTTAATTTCGCCGGTAACATTTAGTGAAATAAGCGGCCACGTTACGCAGGGGTTGACTTTTACTCTAATCTCAAGGTGAATGGATGATACACGGTCATCGATAAAGGTATAATCGGGTGGTAAACCAATTAAGGTCACGAATCACGCGTTCACCGGTCGAGCCCGTACCTTACGTCGATCAACCGATACGGTTTCTCAGCGGAGATAGGTTTCGGCTCTAGTTGCATTTCGTCGCGCAGTTTCATCCGGGACACAGAGACGCCCGGCGTTCGCGGGGCCGAAGTTCTTCCGTTCAGACCGAACGGACGATTCCATTCGCGGAACTCGACTCGGCTCCCGCGTCGCGACCGGTCTCACGAACTCGCAAACGTGTGCAGTGTGCATCGACGATTTGTAAACCGCGCAGCTTGGACACCGACACTCTTTTTTTTTGTAAATAGGAGACAACTATGAGAGCCACGGGGAAACCGTCTTGTAAATAGCCCGATAGAAAGGACGGAGTCGCGCAAGAAGGATCGGAAACAGGAAGTCTCGCGCGCGCGAAGGACTGCGCTGGGTTTCTCGAAGATATGTTGGAACCTTAGAGCGTGCCGCGCCCAACGCGCGATCGTCAAGTAGTTGCAACAGTCGAAACGGCACTGTTACCGCTTCGCCGACGATTCCGCGAACGCGATCTCCCTGGAACGTAGCTCCGTACGTTTACTTAAAATACTCGTTTCTTAATGTTCTGTGATCGACTAAAGAAAAGCTATTAACGACGAAAAAACTGAATGATCATCGGTTGAGATAACCGTGCTCTTACTTTCCGAGTAGCAACTTTGCTTCTGTAAATATCGCGTAGTTTACAGGAAACGTCGTCGGTTCGTTTTTGTAACTAAATGTATGGCTGTGAAAGTGTTAGCGACACGATCAGCTTCAACGATGGATTTCACGGTAAATAGATTGCGATCGTCGTGTCGTGGACGTGGGGAGATCGAATACGACGGTCCGGATAGTTTCGATTATCGGTAGTCGCTCGAAAAATGTTGATTTTCAAGAAAATATTGTAAAAAAATTGTACACCCTTAATCGCATAACGTTACCTTACGATTTGTCTTAAAGGTGACAAGGTACCGTCGACAAGGTGCGAGGGTTAATTAATTTTTCGCCTCGTGCGAGAAATCGATGCACGTTCTTGGTTCCAACACGTTTCCCTGGGCCCGATCTAGTCCTTTGGGAACTCATGCTTCACGATTCGGTCCGCGGACGGAGGGTCTCTCGCCTGTACATACGTATATCATAGTATACATATACATATACATATATTTTTTTTATCGATCAACGATCTCTTCAATATTTTTACGTATACATATATAAATATATTATAAATAGCCGCAATACACTCGGTGCGCACCGTCGTTAATTTCTGTCTCCACGGTTCTGTCCGCTTTCTGTTCGCCGCGTGTACAATTGTATCTAGGAGCTCCGAAGGTGTTTTAGCGACTCATGGTTTCCCGTTGCCGCGACCGTTCGTTAGTTGTATTTTCTTTCGTGTTCCCTCTCGGTTCACCGGGGGTGAATCGCGTCAGCGGCGATTGCTGTCCCTCGGTGTGCAGGGTGTTCTTGAATCGTAACTGACAAACGGTCTCCGAAACAGCTTCGTTCGTCGGGACGAACGCGAGAGTCTCGAGAGCACCACGGATCGATGAAGCGATCGTCTCGCGAATTCCCGAGGTCGCCGCAGAAGAAATTCTCGGAACTCGGAAGCGTCGGGATGAAACGTAACTTCCGCTCGTTCGACGAACAGTGGAACGATCGATCGTCGATCGTCGACGTTGAGAACGGACGTTACGTGCGACTCGGCCCGCTGAAAAAGATCGACT